ACGCATTCTTCAGCATCCTTCCTCTTTGTGCCCAACACTGGGGCAAATGTCAGCAAGAAGAGGCCATAGAGAAGATTATTAATTACAGAAAGAGAAACTCCTGGAACTTGCAGCACAGAATCATTGCTGAAAGGAGAGGACTTGAACACGGCAACTTCTTCCTCTTTGTGGAAAAGGGCTGTCCTGCAACGCTGCTCCCTGTAGGCTGTCGTTTGCCAGATTCCCTGGAAAAGGAAAAAATGCAGAGAAAGAAGTTAGATCTCTTCATTGTTGTGGACAAATCTAGCAAGCAGAAACACGCGAGAGGTGCAAGACATAAGAGCACCACTACATGTCAAATCCAGGTACCACTTCAAGCCTTCACATCCCCAAAAATGCCATGCACTATTCTCAAACTGATTTGGTCCAGATCTAGAGTACTATTTATAGTCAAGTCTAATAACTATAATAAAATAAAAATATTTGAAAGTTTTTGGACCTCAAAGCAAACCAGATAATTTTTTTTTTGCTGCTGTTTTAGGCATTCAGGAAACCAGTACCCTCACAAGAAATTTCAGTTTCAGCAGCACTATCCAGTTACAGCTTTTCTGTCAGGATTGAGATAAAAAACCATAAAAATCTAACAACAAGGATTGATGCAGCCCACAAAACCCAGAACATATGCCAGAAGAAAATCCACAGAGCCTGCTCGGTTGGTATCTACTCATTCAGAACAGAGATTACATAAAGGAGCGAGAATAAAACGAACAGACTCAGGCTCACCACAGCAGCTGTCTGTAAAGACAAGTCACCTCTTCTGGGGATGTAAGCAATATGCTCCTCCTGCCTGCCATCCCACCGCCTCGGCCGCCACTTCCTCCTTACTCACCCCCTCTACCTTCCTCTTCAGATGTCTCTTACTTCCCTCCATCCCAATAATCACGCAGATCCGGCTGCCTTTGCACGCTTCCACTAAGCTTTCTAATGCCCATGAAAACTGACAGGTAGGTCTGTGCAGAGCTCCGACTGCACTGCAGAAGCAGCCAGACTCTCGCTGTCTTTTCCTCCCGCACATCTCCAAGGAAAATCCCACCCACTCAGCTATTTTCTTCTCTGCTTGAGCGAACAGTATTGCAGTCCCCAGGGCAAAAGTTCTCATTCTCCTCTCAGCTGAAGCTTCAGGTTAAATCTGTGTGCATTAGGAATCACAGACCTTGCAATTTCCTTGATATTTTAGTTCTTTCACAGTACATCATATCCACGATGTGCTACAAATGCCTGGTTGAAACTCTGCTCCAGCTTGGCCTGGCTGTGGAAGATGTGTGTGCCTCCTTCCCACACAGCTGAGGAATTTCGCAGAAACTTATCAATGTTTGGGAATCTATGAGATCTCCCTCCAGCATCTTACAGAACCAGCCTCTTCATGTTACCAAACAAAAACATCAACACAAAACGGGCACTGTGGGTTCATCCACCCAACCTATTCCTGCCTCAGTCCATAACTCTTTCCCGCCTGTAAAGCATACCCCAGGTCACACAGCCTCTCTCTTGAAAGCATGAAAAAAGACCCATCATTTCAAATACAAGGGTTTTTAAGTCAATTGAAGCCTGAGTCTCTTGACCTGCATCGCAGAATTTCAGAGCTTGCTGGAGACTGGGAATCAGTTATCTCTCTCAATCAGCCCAGCAATTTCTCATTTTATTATCTCTACATGAAGTGGTAAACAAGACACCAAGTCAGGTGGTCACCAGAGAGGAAGTGGCCATCATACAATCAACTTCCCTCTAGCATATACACTTCCAGCAGCTTTAAGGATGCTCCTACAGCTGCGATATGTTGGGGTAAAGAACCTGGTTGCAAGTAGCTGGTATCCAAGATATGTTGCCACTCACTCACCAGAATGCAGATCTAAATTAAAATAGTGTCTGTACTAAGAACTGCCAGCTAACAATCTGGGAAATGAATTCTGATAATCAGCAATATAAGGTGCCATCATAGCTAGGCTGGAAAAAAAATGCTGAATTGTCCGACAGGTCTTAGTGATCTTGATCCAAGGACAGAGCAAGCAACGGTCTCCTGCCATCTGCAGGGAAAATGGGGATTTGGAAAGCTTCACCTTGGTTTGATTCAAGGAGAAGTACTGGCATAATCGGGACACACAGCATGGAATCATAAAATAGACTATTAGTGCCATGCTTCTCTCAAGTCAGTAAGGAAAGAAAGGCCAGCAATGGGAATGCATTTTGTTTGCATTACTGCTGCGGTGGAGTCAGAGGAGCACGGTGCAAAGCTCCAGAAGGAAGCACAAGTGTAGCCACACATACAAAAGGAACTATAACACAGCAACGGCACATTCACGGGGCTACAGCTACAAAACCAGTTGGGGGTATACTATAGAGAACTGATTTACTGAGGTCCTGTGGAAATCTGTTGTGCCTTTTGGTTTTCTTTGGTGCACTGATAAATTTAACTTCCTTTCTTCTCTCCCCTGACAAGTTCCAAAATTAAGAAGATAGGTTTAAAACCTTTCTGCAGGTTGATGCTATCTCACCCAACCAAGATGAAAGAACCTTTCATCTCTGCACAGAACATCCTCTCGATCCATGAGCATAGATGTACACCACCAATGGCACACGTCTCATGCCACGCACAAGACGACAATTCTCTGTATTTTCTCACATTAATTAAAGCATAAACAAACCAACCAACAGGAACCTAACTTTAAAATACACCCCCAGGAGACTGAAGAGTCAGTACAAAGGCACTGATCAGGCTCCAGTATCACCTGCCAAGGACAAAAGCCACACCAATGGCCAGTGTCCATACAAAACAGTCATTCTCTGATCAGGGCTGGAATTCATCATAGGCATTTACACACAAGCCAAATAAAATAGTGAAAACAGGAAGAAAAATATACGGGAGACCTTTGCCAGCTGCTTACGCCTAAGGACTTTTCATTGCAACTGAACCACCACCAGGGCTGTGAGCTCCTCCTGTGCTCCTCAAACACAGCAAGCCAGTCAGATGGCAACTTCCAGGCAGGCCTCATCTTGATCCCAAATCTGCTCCCAAGCCAGAACATTCAGCCACTTACCACCGTACACTCCCCTGGGGAGAGCAGATTGTCCCCTTTCTCCTTGATTATTTCCTTCACCCAAACCATTCAAGTCACCTAAGCAGCACCAGGGCAAATCCACCAACTGCATTTCCTCAAACAATAATTAAGCCTTATACAATCACCCAGGTGGAAAGCTCAGCTGTGGTTTCCCTGGTGAATTGAATTCTCCTTTCAGTCTAATTTCCTTCCTCACTGTTGGGGCCTCAGTCACAGTTCTACTGACGCCGGCACTTCAAGAAGAAACTCCTGCATAGTACCTCACTGGCTGCACGGCTGCTTTGGCTGACCAGCACACCAGATAAAACCAGTTGCATTTGGAAGATACAAACAGCTACAGGTTCTCACTAATCCCAGCAGCTTGCGCAAGAAAGATAACAAAAAGGAGATAACTCTCTCACCCTGGCCTGCACAGGGGCACTGGAAACCAAGCGCTTGGGAAGAGTTTGGGAAATTTTTTCCTTACTTGTGCAGAAGAGGTATTTGGGGTCAGACTACACCACTATGGCTGCAGAAAATTACGCTCGTTTGACCAGGACTTTGGGTCATAACTCATAGAATGGTTAGAGTTGGAAGGGACCTTAGAGATTATCTTGTTCCAACCCCCCTGCCATGGGCAGGGACACCTTCACTAGAGCAGGTTGCTCAAAGCCCCATCCAGCCTGGCCTTGAACACTTCCAGGGATGGGGCATCCACAATTTCTCTGGGCAACCTGTTCCAGTGCCTCACCACCCTCACAGTAAAGAATTTCTTCCTATATCTAATTTAAATCTCCCCTCTTCTAATTTAAAACCATTACCCCTTGTCCTGTCAGGTTCCTGACAGAGTCCCTCTCTGGCTCTCCTGTAGGCTCCCTTCAGATATTGGAAGGCTGTTATGAGGTTTTGCCGGAGCCCTCTCTTCTCCAGGTTGAACAACCCCAGCTCTCCCAGCCTGTCCTCATAGGGGAGGTGCTCCAGCCCTCTGATCATCTTCATAGCCCTTCACTAGAACCCGTTCTAACAAGTCCATGTCCTTCCAGTGTTGAGAACTCCAAAGCTGGACACAGTACTCAACGGTTGGCAAGAACTACGGAGAACGACAACCCCCTGGTTTTCACAAAGTTCACAAGCTGTAGCACAGCAAAGCTAGCACTACCTTAACTCTTCTGAACACACCAGCCCAGCAAGGTCACCAAAGGGAGCAGAAAACTGTGGGGTTGTTCAGCCTAGAGAAGAGAAGGCTCCAGGGAGACCTTATAGCAGCATTCCAATATTTGAAGGGAGCCTACAGGAGAGCCAGAGAGGGGCTCTTTGTCATGAAGTGTAGTGACAGGACAAGGAGTAATAGTTTTAAATTAGAAGAGGGGAGACTTAAATTAGATATTAGGAAGCAATTCTTTACAGTGAGGGTTCTGAGACACTGGAACAGGTTGCCCAGAGAAGTTGTGGATGCCCCATCCCTGGAAGCGTTCAAGGCCAGGCTGGATGGGGCTTTGAGCGACCTGCTCTAGCGGAGGTGTCCCTGCCCATGGCAGGGGGGTTGAAACTCGATAATCTCTAAGGTCCCTTCCAACTCTAACCATCCTACGATTCTAAGACCTCCAGGAGACCTCCCACCTCCGCAAAACCCCGACCCAGGGGGCGGTCGGGGCGCTGCGGTTCCCCCTCCAGCCCCCACCGGTGGCGGCCACCGAACCCCACGGCCTCCCGCAGGTGCCAGAACCTCCCCCCTTCCACCCCAAACCCACCCGACGTGCCACGGACCGCAGAAGGGAGCCTCGGATACCGCCGTGCTCCTCGCTTACCGAGAAGCCCCGGAGCCGCCCGTGCCGCCGCGGGACCACCGGGCCTGCCCCCCCCCCAGCACGGGCGGCTCCGGGGCTTCCCGCATCCCTCCCGCTGCCACCCGCGACCAGGACGGCGATGGTTACCGGGAGCTCCGCGGCGTCGGGCCCGCTGCTGCGCGCCACCAGCACCGGCTCCTGCTGCCCCGTGCTGGAGGCCGGCAGTGACGCCACCCCCGCACCTTCC